CATAGTTCTAGCCGACCTGTGACAATGAGACTGTCACAGGTCAGCTCAGTAGATCAGGATGTGAGCGAACACATACCGGCGTCCGCTCACTTCTTGATCCTGTCACGGCAGAGAGCCGTTACGGGAGGGACTGGATTCCCCCCTCCCCGCTTTGATCCTCCAGCACGGACTGGCGGAAGGGTGAGGGGACGGGTACAGCTGGTTCTGCCTCCTAGATAGGCAGAGCCAGCTGTCACTCACGCAGCTGGGCGGATCCAGACATAATTGTCGGGATCCGTTTCAGCTGCGGCGTCTCAGTATACTGCGAGCTGTAGCTCGCGGTATACTGAGCTTAGGGTGCCGGGAGGACACTAGTTTGTGTCCTCCCGTTACCCTTAGGAGAACTATGGGGAAAAGTCCTAACCCCATAGTTCTCCTTTTAAAGAGCCTGGCCTGAGCAATGACATGCAGGCACTGCTGGAGGGAGTGCATGTAGACAGGAAGTGGTTGCAAATTTGTAGCAGTAGATGTACAGCACTAACGTGCAAAAATAATGTGAGAACTGTATTTTCTAGAAGACAAACATTGCGAATTGTTGACAGTGCTTTAGCAAACTTTAATTTCTTCTAGTTAGTTTACATAGCCAGAATTGGGATGACCATCTTGGAACCCGCACCTCTAAAAGCAAGCCAGGAGTGGTGTCTTCCTGTTTGTCCTAACTCAACCTATGGGTGCACAGCAAACACAAAGGACATTTTCTTCCTAATCCTGTAAACGGCAACATTTTACATGATGGTGACTGGAAAATTGTTTGACGGTAACTGTTTAAATCATAGACTTGGCTAATCTAGGAAGTTCTTGCACCATGCATGTAAATCTCTGATGTGTTGGGGAGTATTGAGAGACTATTGCTCGCAGTAAAGAGCTTTACATCTGATGTGTTAGTACGCTTCACTGGAAAAGCAGAAGTATTTCAAGATGTTTGTTGATGTCACCAGACAATGGCTTTGCCAGTGACTGATGTCACCTTGCTGATATTCCGCTCACAGAAAGAAAACACATTGCCTGCCCCAGTATACCCATTATGACCCCTTCTGCATCTAACTAGCTGGCACGGTGTGACTGTTGGGGACAGTTTGTACCAGGTCACTGGCTCCTGTCCCAGCTATAAATCTCCTTGTTAGTAAATTTAGAGTCTCCAGTGACACAGTGCATCGTAAGGCTCACTCCTAAATAGCGAATGCTTGGCAGGACACTTCAATTCACTCTGCAATGTGCTAAATAAATACAGCCAAAATACTTAACTCATTCACAACCAGACAGGGTGACTGTAACCAATACCTTTTTATAGCTTTGTTTAACAGTTGCACTGGACATAAGTAGTGACAGCAGAAGAAGAATCTATATATTGTTCGATGTAATGTCCGGAAGCTTCAGTCCTAATAACAAATCATGTTTATAAAGATCTGTTGAATTCTGCTAAATATAAGCAATAGACCTATTTACCTGCCCTATGTTTTCAACATTTGTCAGCATCCTCAACCTCAAAATGCTGTATTACTTTATTGGTTCCTGTGAAAACATTCAATTAACAATAAATCAAAATTGGATGCCAATTGAATATGTTGAAGAAAAAGTCAAAATGAATGTCTTTTGTCCAGTTTTGGTCATCCTGTGCCCAGTGTAGCCACACTTTCCAGATCTTAGCGTTGGAACATTGGAAGCTGGTGTGGCCTTCTGCTACTGTAGCCCATCCTTTTCAAGAGTGGAAGTATTGTATGTTTAGAAAAGCCCTTCTGCAAAAGTAGTTAATCAAACAGTTGTAGACTTCCTATTTGGGCATTCCCTACATCAGGTTGTTTTATACCTATAATGGGTGAAGTGAGCCTTTACAACCAATGCATGGTGCACACAAGCACTGGACGGTAATGTGATTTCCATGCTCCGAAAAAGAGGAAATGTTAAAATGCATTTAGGGGGTAGGGGGTCGTTGATGCCAATGAGGACTGCACAGAATTCTAGTGCATTCTGTGTTCTTTGACCACCGGGCCATTTGATTAAACACAATCTTAAGTTGATGAGTTTAAGCAAAAAGCAATTGTTCCTTGTTATCTTTTAAGATGGACTGCCCAGCACCAAACTTTTGTGTTCCATCCTTATTGGGGCTTAGTTACATATAGGCTCCACTGTCCTTTTCAATAAATGGTCATCTGCAGGAGCTCTTCCATTGCTGTTAACATTGGCAGCCTTGATGAGCAATAGTGACCTGCACCCAATATGGAATGGTGTTAATTTTGAGGGCTTTCAAGTGGCAACAATTTCTTGCAAGTTTAGAAACAAGCTGATCACGAGGCTGTTCATGACACATACCTGGAATGAGCATCAAGCATTCCCTTTAGATTCTCATAAATAAGGCTGCAAGTAAAATAACCCCGACATTACAAAGATGGTTAGAACTGAGAACCAGGCTTTATTCCCATTAGATTATATAAACTATTACAAACAAGCATGTTGTCCCTTTCTGCAATTTGCCATTTAAAAAGGAAAAAAAAAGAACTTTAAAAAGAATAACCTTGATACTATTTCTGTCTCCACTCATTCGCTGCTCTAGTGGAGTTTTTTTTTCCCTTCTTGTTTTGTTGACAATTATATAAAAAAAGAGGCGCAGGGAACACTCTGTACTAGCTATTTGAATTTGGCAGGCAGGGGCTGTTCCTGTACTGATAAGGAGTACTGTAAATAAGACTGTACAAAGAGCCTGCCATAAAGCAAGCTCTGTCTGTACTCATTGTTCTCTCTCTCTCCACTGGTTTGTGTGTTATGTATGTGTTTTTTTTTTCCTTGTGTTTGAATTTTTTATTTATTTAAATTTTCGGAACACCGTTTTGGAACACAATGTTCTTCCTAGTCTGACTGAACATGCAGATCTTGTTAGCAAATTGCCAGCGTGTTTATTTTTGAAACCCACAGGAATTTTTATGACATGCATATTAAAATTGTGTTTTGATGAGTAGTAGTATTTTCCTTTTTTTTGCGGCAGGTTGGGTGATTGTAAGAATTTTTTAACATTTGATACAAAAACAGAAGATATAAAAAAGCTTTTTGTTTTGGAAAATTGAGAGATATATAGTTTAAAGATGAGTTGGGATATTGAAAGGGTTAATATGCAGTGCTGGGTTAGCAAGGTTACAAATTATTTGAATGTTAATGGTTACGTTTAAGGTAATAAGAGGAAAATGTAAGTAACTTTTGTTTATCAAAATACCCATGCTGGTTTTTGGCACCTAAACATATACTATTGAGGGATGTGACTCTCTGTGGTTTAGATAAAGTGCAAGTTAAAAACCTGAAGTTAAGAGAGCTATGGGGTAAGTGTTTTTCCTCAGTTCTCTTAAGGGTCACGGGAGGACAAATACTAGCATCCTCCTGTGACCCAAAGCTCAGTATATAGCGAGATACAGCTTGCGGTATTCTGAGACTGCCGCAGCTGGGACGGATCCTAGCACTGCTGTCGAGATCCACCCAACTGCGTGAATGACAGCTGGCTCTGCCTATCTAGAGGCAGAGCCAGCTGTACCCGCCCCTATCCCCTGTCCGTTCCTCCAGTCAGTGCTGGAGTATCGGAGCGGGGAGGGCTCTCTGCAGGGAAATGATTGAGAAGTGAGCGAGTGACTGTATACGTTCGCTCACTTCCCGATCTATTGAGACGACGTGTGACAGTTTTGTTGTCACACTTCGGCTTGAACTATTAGGATGAGTGATTTTCACTCGACTCATAGTTCTCATTTTAAGTAGGTGACCTTCTTAAATGATCATTGTAAAATGTCACCACTGCATAGAACCCCTGCAGGGCAGAATTAATTTTTCATAATACTAAGATGTACTGTTTTGTTCAGCACAGATCTAGAAGAAACTCTAGTTTGTAAATACTTATTGAATGGAATGCTCTTCAAAGCCTTCAGCAAATTTCAGAATTTGATTTAAGCCATTAATGTAGAGTTCAACTTTAGTCTGGAAGTGGTGAATACAGATCTCGGTAGAAGTACTGGCTGTAGCAGGCCTTTACAGTAGCAAATTTCATGCAGTGTCGAAGTTGCCAAAAGATTGTCTTAAGCTGCAGCGTCCACTCCCAGGGAGATCTTTATTTTTTTCGTGAGATCCTGATTAGGGGCTGATGGATGTTATTTAAAATAAACCGATGAGGATAAAGATATGGCAAATGCCATTGCTGACTTGTTTTTGATGGTGCATACTCTTGGTGGTACCATGCTGATCTTTGCTGTGCTACCTAGTGGATCATAGTTCTGAAACAACAGACAACCAGTGAACTCTGCAAGGCCTAAACTTATGTCCTGCATAGTTGTCTATAGTGATTGAGCTGCTAGATAATGAAGTCATGATGACAGCCCAAGAGCCTGCACATTAAAAAAAAACAAGTCAACAATGCCATTCACTCTTTCTGAAATAAAGATAACAATTGTTCTGGTTGAGCCCCTCATGTACCAGATTGGGCATTTTTGTCCTAATACACACTACATCTGATAAACATGCATATTATTATATTAATGGATCCTAACACTTGCCAATAAAGCTCAAACACTAAATCCTAGTTGGTACTGTAAGTTAGGTCAGTTTATTGCAGCTATTTTTAAGGTTTGATAGAGCCCTATGCGTGCAGATTGGACCCCATGCATGCAGAATTGGCGTGTTTTGTGCTTTGGGCTTGGATGTGATATATTTGGAGGGGTAGGTTAAATACTGAGCTTCCACTAGCAAGCTGGTACACTTTTTTTTTTTTTTTTTACTTGGACACTGAAAAATAACACATAGTTATTGTAAGCTACAAACCACTTTTACTTGGCTCTACTTTTATAATGAGGCCTACTCAGGTTTTTGATGTCTTGACTTATAGACCGATCTTAATGACGGGGTTTGTGTTAAAACCCTTGACTGATGACCAAGCTGTTTGTGTATTCGTTCTGTGGATGTTCACTAACTAATATATTTTTTCCTTTTATCAGCTGGAGCCAAAGCATTTGTGTGCGAGCAGTGTGGAGCACAGTTCTCGAAGGAAGATGCATATGATGCTCACCGGCGGACGCACAATGGTTAGTAACTTTTTATTACAATTTATGGACTGCATGGCAGGACACCTTTTTATCTTCACTTAAGTAGTTGCAAACACAGTAAACTCACATAATATCTAATATATAAGTGCTGTACAATACAGGACTAAAGTGGGGCTACAAAGCAGGCTTGGCATTTCAATAGGATACATTTTAGATCTGAGACCAGAGTTTGTTGAGCCTGATGATGCAGTGATGGGTGCTTGAAAACACTAAAGCCAACTCTGACTTGCTGTGTAGACCACGTCCAGATTTATTTAGAGCTACCATTATTTTTCCTGAGACACTTGGGCAAAAATTGGGAGATGGGTTTAGTTCACCATAACTGAGATCTAAGGATAGTAATGCCACAATTGTAAGAACAGAAGAACATTCTTGTGTATGTTATGTCTAACCTTTAACCTGATTTTTATACTTGTTTTGTAATCTGCACACTTTGGGAGTCATCACTCTGGAAGGACAAACTGTAGTTTTAGTATGGAGCTACAGCTGTGGTCCAGGGTTGCCCTGTTGCTGGTCAGTTAAATAGTTGCCTCTACAGATTCCAGGAAGGATGACCTCTTATCTGGTGGATAACCAAGCAGTGTGCCTGCCCTGAGGCATGTGATACTTGCATCAGATGGCAGGTTCATAGTAAAAGAAAACATTAATTTCTCACCTTTTGGTCCTGAATAATAGCTGGGATAGCTGGCCATAACTAACATATCATACCTGTTTCCTTGCCATGTTCTATTGCAAAGAAGTTGAAGAGAAAGAAAGACTTGGAAAGAAATTCTATCACATTGCTTAAAAAGAAGCACTGTGTCTATCATTGATTTAGTGAACTGGGTTAGGATATTATTTTTGCTGTTGTTTTTATTACGGTTATTATTATTGATGAGGATAATAATTATAAAAAATATTAATGCTATCAATATGTTTTATTTATTGTCAAGGTCATATAAATCATAATAATGAAACAATGTGGTTACATAAACTTTAATACAGTGACAATTAAAAGCCTGAAAATATATATCATGCAAAGTGTTCATGGGCAAAAGTTTACATAATTGAGAGTAAACTTTAAAAGATTTAGTATTCTCATTTCCTACCAGTCCAACTGGTATTTATGCTTCTAATACACCAGGTGGCAGTATTGATAGCATGCAGCATACAGAGCTCTTGCAGTTTAAGACAACTTTCCAGGAGTTTTTTTTGGTATCACATGTCAAGTCTCAGATCAGAAAGAATTGGGGGCTGTAACACTGCATCCCAGAATAATCCATGGTGTAATGGGGTGGAGGACACCAGTTAGGAGTTCATTCTTAAACTGCTATTACATAAATATATCTGCATGTAATTAAGCGGGCGCAGCTACTGCATGATTGCAAATATTAGATTAGCAAAATGACTAGTAAACTGCATAATATCCCAACTACGTATCTAAGTGTTCTAAATCAGCATGGGCTAAATGCAGGGTAGTATGCAATATCACGATGCTTTGGTGTGAATGAGCCCCAACACTCTTATCCCCCCCCTCCATTGCTTTATTACCTGTTGATCCTGCCATTAGATTTTTTTTTATAACAGGTCAGGCTTAGCACTGTAGAGATGCTTGCAACTGTCAGATTTTATTCATAGGGTTTAAACATTAAAAAACAAGTGTGTTAGGCTTTGATTTATTTGTTGCTTACTTTAAACTCCATGTCGTTGTAAGACCACCCTGTCTACAGGGTGTCAACACTGCTGCACGATTTAACTGCAGAATGAGCTGAGTTGTCACCCCATTAATGCAAGTGAAGACATAATTAATCTACTGGCAGGATCAACAGGTAATAAAACTGTTATGGGGGACTCAAAATCCGTTTAGTCTATGGCAGTTACTGACTGCATAATGCAGTTTTTATTTTTCCCATAGTTACACTTTATAAAAAGATAATTAAACCTTCAGAAGAAGGTGGGAAAGGGAATGTTTATTATCAAAACATCAAAAAAAAGTAAATGTTTACTTTTATTTGTAGCAGCCAAAGGAGCTTGAACTGATCACGGTTTGCTGAAAAATGAGCAATGTTATGCAACTTAAGGAGCACGAGTGACAGTTGTTTAGAGTTGGTGTTTAGTCATGCGTCTGTCCTGCGTTCTGTTTAGCGCATGAATGGTGACAGAAATAATGACCACTGATCCTCATGTGAAACGGAAATATCAATACTTTCTGACACACGAATGATGGACCATGACCCTTGCTTATTTTAGTCCTTTTTTTTTTTCACTTGAGAGATAAAGGGCTGGAATGTTTGTAGTGATTTGCTGAATTGTTCACCCATTTTTAGAGATGATATACATATAAAACCACTCACACTTTTTTTTTTCTTTTTTTTTTTTTATACAAATACACCATAATTGTATTTGTTCTGGAGGAAAGGCACGTTAACAGATTTAATGTTGCTTCCAAACACTGTGCTTTTCTTATGTGTACAAAGGTCTGTCTTTTTTTGTCTCGAATTTAGTGAATTCATTTTCAGGCCAGAATCTTCTGTCTGTAACGTCCCCTACTCGTGACCTTGATGTACAAGTATCTCATTTTAGAAGCATGTGGTTTTGATAGGAGCCTGTGGTTAAATGTAGGGCATTAGTTAGACATGCCAAAGTAGGCAGATGAAATTGTCATAATAAGACAAAATACTTAATAAATCAAACATTAATCATTGGGGCTGACTTATTAAAAAAGCAAGAGGAAAAAGTCTTGTGTTGCCTATAGCAACCAATTAATGGTTTTGTTTTGTTTTTTAATTGGGAAGTGACAGGTGCATCATCATTGATTTCTGTTGATACTAGGGTTGCACAGATACCAAGTACAGTACTCGGTACAGGTACGAGCACATGTACCGATACTTTTGAGCTCCAAGACTAGACTAGAGAAAAATGCAAACATTAGGAGGCAGCTGTCATTTGTAAGGGGCACACGGAGCTCCTGGGATTTGTACATCTCTGTTTTAATGTATGATTTTCTTTTTATAAATATAAATAAAGGGATGCACAGACAAGTTTTGCGAGTACGATTACTGGTACTTGCCGAGTACTTATGAGTACTGATACATTTATGTTTATTGTCATGTGAAAGTTTTTCTATAATAATAGACTAATGATTTCAGGACAGTGGTGGAGTGCCAGAGCCAGGTCCCAGCTGCAACTGCTGCAACCCTGGTAGTTGTCATGAAAATGCCAAGTATCTGCACTGGTACTCGAAGTATCTGTGCATCCCTAGTTGATACCCAATTCTGCAGATGATAGTTGACCCGTTGTCATGCTAAATCTTTGGATTTATTACTTTTAATACAGTATTCAAAAAAAGCATGTAGATCAGGGTGTTTTGCCTCTCCATATAAAAAAAATAGGGGTCCCGGAAGCTTTTAGCCATAATGTGCTAGTATACACAGCATATCAGCACATTATGGCAGACCTACCTGCCAAAGCGATCCCCTCCAGTGCTGCAACATCTGTGTTCTCTTTCCTTACAGGTGCTTCCATGTCGTATTCTGGGTTTTGGGTTCAGCCACTTGATTGGGCGATTGCAAAATGTGCATGCGCACGGCAATGGCTTTGTCTCGGCAAGGATTTCCACCATGCCTGTACACTAAGCTGCCAGTGCACAGCTCAGTGTGCAGAAACCAAAAAAAGTGGTGACTATTTTTTTTAAACTTCCCCTTTTTGATCTGTCTTTAATCTACATAATAGCCAGGCAACTAGCATTTTCAGAAGGTTGTTTGCAACGGTAGTCCCTACGTTTCTTTTACAACGGTAGTCCCTATGTTTCTTTTACAAAAGGTTTACTTTAGGTGTTTAAAATAGCTAGGAATAGAAAACATTTGACGATTGTTTTGATTGGTAGGATGGAGATGGGCCCATCATGAGTTTTTCCAAGCATGCTGCTCATCCTCACTGAACCTAGTACATATAATACACAGTACGATGAAGGCGTAATGTCGGGTTGTATGTAAGCTGTAAAACAAGTGTGCGGTTTCCTGACAGCAGCTCTTGCAAAATGGTGCAATAACAGTGGCAGCAGCCTGATCACGAACGCCAAGAACCAAAGGGAGCATCTTTTCTAGCACGCCAGTTTGTCCACTGGGATGGGGAATTTTGGCCAGTCCTCCATTATTCCTCTTTGTCAGAGCAGAAATACAAGCACACATGTTAGTGTAAAAAAAAATGATTAATTTTCTTTCCCTATGTGGTCAATAAGAGCCCACTAATTACAAGTAGACTTGTGCGCCATCAAAAAATTAGTTACGTTTCGGAATATCCGGTATTTCGGAATTCGTGTCAGAAACTCAATTCGGATTCGTACGAATTTTCGTTTCGGCACATTTTCGTAACTGTACGAACATTCGTTATGATGAAGTTAAAAAGCAAAAATACCTTTGTTAATATTGGAGTCGATGTGGTAGTTTTTTTTTTTTATTTCAGGAAAATTCGTACGAATTTCGATTCGCACATGTCTAATTACTAGATGGATCAAGTAAAGACCACACTAGGGTTGCCGGAGTTGTTATTATAAATATAACATGTTCCGTTTTCTTTACTTCCCTTTGTAATCCCCCACCACAATCCCAACTACGTTTTTCCCATGACAACACCATTGGTTGGGGATTAGCAGTAATGCAGATCTGACCTTTCAACTCTTGTCCACAAAAGCATTATGGTTATAAGGCCAGAGGAGTTTTTCCCTATACTGTGCCATTGTGGTCAATTTCATTAACCCCTTTACCATTGAAAGCGTTGCACAGCTGTAGTCATAGCTGAAAAATTCAGCATTTCTTTCTCCTTTCAGTTCAACTTCATTTAACCCTTTTTTACCTAGACACTATAATAGCCATTGTGACTTGCATTGTTGTCTGACTGTAATTTATTGCAGTGATGGAATGTCTTGCTGCATACATTACTCACCTTTGTCTAAGTTCATTTTTTTATACCTGTTCACATCCATCTAACTAGCTTGTGTG